ATGTTTTCATGTGAGTGGCTTTTGTTAAGTGGTTGACCTACCGTGATTATGAATGCTGAGGGAAGTAAAACATAGAGTTGCACTCAGTGAGCATGTTAAAATAACTTTGGGCTTGTTTCAGACTAACGGGGGAAAAAAAAATTGGAAATCCAAATATTTTAAAAATTAGTTTATTCAGATGTGTTCTCCTAGCTCTTCAGAATTCTACAGAAACAGGTCCTTTGTACAACACCTGTTATGTCTAAAGACAGCAGCAGTTTTGTCCTTTTAAAATTTAACTGTAAGTTCCAGTTCCTGTCTTTGCCATCCTACTTGTATCCTAGTTGGAAGGCTGATTTACCAGTTCTGAAAACTATATTGCATTTGGCTTATTAAAACATAGGAGGTACAGCAGGTATTTAGTGTAGGTGACAGAACCAACTACGCTTTTGATTTTAAGCGTGCCGTCTGGACAAGTGAGATGTGGAATATCAGACCCCTGTCAGTATTTGTGCTCAGGGTCATTAAAAGTCGTTAGAACCTACAGACGATACGTGCCAGGCCATTCAGACGTAGGAGACTTGAATTAAGGTATAACCCAAGCAAAATTTTAAAAGGATGAGTAGTAGCAAGTTGTTGTGTTGCACGACTATCAATATATATTAGAAACCATTCCAAAATAGCAGAAACTTGGAACATCAGAGATCAGTTTAAGTGCAGGTAAAGAATGTGTAGATGACTTTTCTAGGCACTGTCTGTAGCTCACAGGAGGATGCTGTGTGGAGATTCGGATCATGAAATCTGAGTCACGTCTGTAGAGGCAGAACTCTCTGACCATGGAAGATGAGCTTTGCTAAGCTCGAACTCCATTTGTATTTACATCTCCTGAAATCACTCTGTGTGTATGAAAACTGTGAAATAGAGCATACAGCTCTGTGGATATTTCAGTGCTGTAAATGCTTAGTCTTACTGTGAAAGTGGAATTTTGCAGTGCTTTGGAGTGTCTTATTTCCTTTTAAAAGGTGGAAGAATATAAAGGAGTTTATGACAAGGGGATATGGGAGGAAACAGGGAATTAGGCAGTGATTCAAATCCCCAAGCTGCTGTCTTGATTGGATCATCCTCCTCTTCTGGAGTTTGGCTTGCAGTGCTCTGGCTTTCTGTGAAGCTTAGCTGTACTACTTTTGCTTTATGCCAGATTTATTCCAGATGCAGTACTCTGGAGAACACACAAAGCACTGATCTTAACAGCGTCAGCATTTTCTCTTAATATATAATCCTAATTTTCTGTATTTGGGAGATGCAGTGATCAGGATCTTGCAGTAAGGCTCTCTTCTTCTTTACAGAGTTTTTATTCTCAGGTGTGTGCTCTCAGACAACAGAAGTAAAACCTGCTGAGCACTTCTGTTTTCCTAACATGCTGATTAAAAGGACTGACTTGCTTTTTTCAGCTGTCTTTATATACTAAGAGTGATACTGCCTTGTTGACTTAACGTGAAAGACTTAAACATGGGGAATAATGGCAACATATGTATTTCAGATACACATATTCCACAGTTTTCTTAACTGCTTTTGTACAACAGTTACATCCTGTGAGTGTTATTTAATTATTGAAGTTACCTACTACATTTTATACTTTATTGAATTAAATTTCTACAATAATGGCTTTTAATCTTGTCTGGAAGACAGTCACTTGTGATTCCTGCCTCAGCTGGACACAGTAAAATGAAATAATGAAGCAGCTATGTTACTTGCACTTAGTATGTGTTATCACATTGCAGGTTAAGTATGAATTTACTGTAATTTAGGCCTGTCATAGTATTCAAAATTTCTATGGATTTTTCTTGTGAAACTCTTCTGACACCTTGTGATCCTGATGATTTGTTTAGAATTTTGTATATTTTACTTAAATGTGTGGAGAGTATTGATCTGTAATTTATCTCTGAAGTGGCATTAAAAGTTTTTTTGGTTTTGGTTTTTTTTTTAAGCCCACTGGCATCCCAGGAACTGCATCTGTCCTTGACTGACTTTGTAATTTCTGTCAGTTGGCATGTGGAATTATGTGCTTTCTTTTTGTTTTAGATTGGATAAATACACAGTCTCTTGTAAAACCTTATTTGTTTTATGTTACTTAAAATTAAACTGTAAAGTATTGGTTTATGGTTCCAGCCTAATGCCAGGAACTCTACTGTTCTTTTGCTTTGCATTGTAATTGTTTAAATTTTATCAATAGGTACTGTAATTTAATTATTATTGGCATTCAGTTATGAAGGAGTTGTCTTGCTGTGATTTTCTGTTAGGTAAGCGTGGTCCAAGACTCAGTAAATATATCAGGACAGTCTAATACAAACACTTTGAAGGTACCTGAATGTCGACTAGCAGAAGATTTAGGGAATCTCTGGGAAACAAGAAGATTTACAGATTGCAGTTTTTATGTAGGAGGACAAGAATTCAAAGCTCATAAGTCTGTCCTTGCAGGTACTTTCTACTTTTGTATTGCTATTATTTTGTAATTAAAATTGTTAAAAGCTTAAAATTTGTTTATATTTGTCTAATATTACTCTTCTTGCTACAGCACGATCTCCAGTTTTTAATGCAATGTTTGAACATGAAATGGAGGAAAGCAAAAAGGTAAGGCGTGCTGAAAAGCTTACATGTAAATATTTTGCACTGTGAGAAAGGGAAAGGGTGCAGAAATCTTGAAGTGTTGCAAGTTGAGGAAGATGAGTGCTGCATGATGGCGCGTGAGTGGTGGAGGTACTACTGAGCACTTTTCCAGTGAGTTCTGCAGGAATTTCTCTGAGTAGGAAGGGCAGATAGGGCCAACTGTGGCAAGGTTCTGGAAGATTTGTTCTTTCAAGTCCTTGCATCTGCCCTAGGTTATTTTTTTATTTTTAAATATTAGCTACTGATGCAGTTGACCTCGTAATCTCTGCCTCTTTTTGCTTTAGTTTATACTTTCACATAAGCTGATTGACTTGACCAGGGTTCTGTTATAGTGTATTAAAACGTTTTATATTGTAGTTAGAATATGAAGAAACAACAGGTGAATTATGGCTGAAATTAAGCCCCGAGGCAGTGAGGCATGCCTTTTCATTCACAGGTTCTGCAGGGGCTTGACCTGTGTAAGTGTTTTGGATGGATAGTTACTTAATCAGCAGAGAGCTGCTTCTGCTTTTATGCACTTGATGTCTCCCACAGCGAGGAGTTCTTCATGTCTGTCATGAAGAAGAATATCTAAAATGGGTTGGCTATAGGCAGAATCCATGAAAAGGCAAGGAACTGATCAGCTCACTGAAGGACTGTAAGAGATGATTGTCACTTAGTCTTGGAGGCTGTGATGAAGCCGCTTGTGTGAACAGATATCAGATGAATATGGTGCTGTATTACCAAGGACTTTCAGAAACATGGCGTTTGTCTTCCCTGCTCTCTTCCAATCTGGAAGCTCTCACAGGTAGAATTGGAATGTTAGACGCATTTTATAGGAATTTCTAGACTGAAAAAAAAACCCAGACCTGTTCCAGCCTCAGTGATGTGCCATGCTCCGAGCTTTCACCTTCATGTTAGCAGTAAACCTCCAGTGCAGCCCTGCTCCTAAACACTGTATGCGGTTTAGTGGATAAGAAACAAGAACATATACATCTTGTGCTCATAACTTGTGATTTTTGTACCCTGTTCAAAAGTCTGGCTTCTACATCTGTACCATAACTTCCTACTATGTTAGTTGCTTATAGGGGATACTATTGGAGGATGGCGTCAAACATGCACTACCACAGATTTGTTAGGAAGGCCTTTAGCTACATGCTGTCACTTAGATGTGCTTGGCTTGCTTTTTGGATTCTGAGAACAAAAACAACAGGCTGTATTGACTGAAGCCAAAAATGGCTTTTTTTTTTTTTTTTTGGTCTGCTGCTCTGACTGCTAATATTCCAAGTCCATCATTGTAGGGTTGAAAACGCAACACTTCCAAATATCCCTGAAACATATGTACAGCCTGTGCAATAGAGTCCAGAGTTAAACAGTTTTAGAAGAACATTGCAATTCTTATTGCCTAAGCTTTTCCAGCTGATTTCTACCTGATGCTAAGAGTAACTGATTTTAATTACTTTTTGCATAATATTGTAGTTTGTTAACTTAAATTTGCAAGGATTTTGGATGATGGATGGCAAATGAAAACTTGTAGCATGCATGCAGATGATATGTTCACTTAAAAGTTGTAGCTAAGTTCCAGGGCTTTTAATGGATTATTCTTCTTTACCAGAATCGTGTGGAAATAAATGATGTAGACCCTGAAGTTTTTAAAGAAATGATGAGATTCATTTACACAGGAAAAGCACCAAACCTTGAAAAAATGGCTGACAATTTGTTGGCAGCTGCAGACAAAGTAAGTAATTGACTCCTGAGTATTCAAACCTGATTTTTGCTTGTGGAATGTTCATTAAAAAAAAAACAACCCAACGACAAACAAACAAAAAACCCCACCCTACTGTCTGTCTTCAGGTTGCTATGTATTTTGACTTTTTTTTGAACTATGAGAAACAGACCTCATCAGAAATGGAGAAAGTGGGAAAGAATAGACTTCCTTTAGCAGTAGAAGGCTGATACATCTTTCTTGACCAGAATTGTTTCAGATATTAATTATATTTACTATCCAAATAATTTTTAGAAACTGGAGACCATTAATATGATTTGGATAATTGGTATTGAAAAAATGCACCATAAATCTTTGTATTCTTGAAGAGGATTTATACAAGTGTTTGAATTAAGTGTGCTTCTTAAAGTACTGCTACTTCAGAAGATCCATCTTTGTCTTCCCTACAAGCTTAATAGTTCTAATCTTTTATCTCTTCTGTATTGGGATCTTTTTCTTTTTAAATTGTCGCTCTGTGAAATACTTTTTCTACTATGATTTTTGAGATGAGGGGATTTATAGCAGCGCAGCAATTAAGGTGAGATTATTCCCTTTCATATCATAATTTACATCTTTCTAACTTCTTAAAAACTTGACCCAATACCTTGTTTTCTCTTCACTGCTTTGCAGTTTGAGTTGAAATTCTAGCTAGCTGTCCTCAGAGAACACGCAGTTGTCTTTCCCTGAGGAGCCATAAGTAATTTGGAATCCCGGAAATGTGCAATTCACTGTGTGTAATCTGAAACATTTTCACTCTCAACTGAGAGTATGGTGATTTCTTAACTACCTTTGCAATTTCTGAATGGGTTGTGTGATCATATCCCTAAAATATTAGTGGTGAGGACTACCTGTTCTCATAATCAATCCCAAAACAAGTAAGATAAGTCATCCCAGTAGTTGAATTTTGAGAAACAATTATAATTTTTCTTTTTCTGGCAGGTTAATGTGCTCTCTTTTCTCTATTTTTGCCTTTTGACCTGACACTGACATGGCTTTGGTGTCTTAACCACTCCTATGCACTGCCAGCATCTCATCTTCCTGGTGATGTTTTGCCAAGTTTCAGTACACCCAAGTGGGACAGTGAAATGCTGTTGTTTTATGGATGCTGGCCTTTATGTAGGGCACAATTGGTAAATGTAGAGAATATTGTAAGATGCAGTTGTATGATTGTCTGAAATAGCAGGAAATAAAAATGGTGAGCTAGGAGGTCCATGTAGCTTTTTGTAACAGTTAAAAAAACTGCTAGAAAATTTCTGTTCCTTCTGAATATGAAGTAACCTAAAACCGAGTGTTCTGCATGTTACCAAAAGCATTACACTGCTGTATTACCTGGTAGATACAGATTTGTTAATTGATATTTTTTTACTCTACATAGGGGCATCCTGAGGAGTAGTATAGTAACAAACTGGAAGTAGAAAATGCATAGGTCTAGAAAGATAAAGTTAAGCTAACAATTTCACTATTCAGTGGCATTTCTGTTACATAGAACAGTTGCTGATATAAATGTACAAGCAACAACTTGAATATATGCCACTTATGTCTAAAATTATTTTCGGGCTTGAAAACTCTATCTGAAGGGTACTAAACTAAATGGAAGGGTAAGGTGTTGATAGAAATGTGTATGGCTGAATGAAACCTGTTCAGACTGTGACATCCTTCAGAAAAGCAGCACAGTTTATTCATGCAAAATACAATGTGGGAATGTAATTATTTTACATCTTTTTTCTGGTAGGTTCTGTCAAAAGTATGGAAGAAATTAAGAAATTCAGAGATGGGGTTGGGGGTGAACTTGGAACAAGCTAGTTGCAAACAAGCTGATGTGCTTTACTTGGACAGTTTCATGAAACTTTCCGTTATATAATTTCTTGCCCCTGACTTTGAGGTGTAAACGTGTCTTAATAATGATTTTGATAAAGAGCCTGTGTCTCTTCCTTGCTTTTCCTCCTTTGCCAAACTGAAGGAAAACTGAAACTCCTAATTGAGTGATTTTTGTCGTTTTTTATTAAAAGTTCTCCTAGTAAAGCACTTGATCAGTTTATGTCAAACCTAACGCATGTCTTACCATTTGAGGCCTCTCAATGCAGCATGTTGAACTTCGATTTACCTTTTTGGAAGGGGTTTGATCTTAAGCTTGGGAGGCACCAAACATTTTCATGACTGAGACTGTCTTAAACTGTAGAGATAATGGTAGAAAGCATGAGTTTGAAGAATGATTAGTGTAGTTTTTTCTTTCATCAGTATGCACTGGAACGGCTGAAGGTCATGTGTGAGGAAGCACTCTGTAGTAACCTCTCGGTAGAAAATGTTGCTGACATTCTTATCCTCGCAGATTTGCACAGCGCTGAACAGTTAAAAGCACAAGCAATAGACTTTATTAACAGGCAAGTAATATTTATGAGACTCTAAATATATTTATGCTTTGTGTACCTTCTAGATATTCACACAGTTCTTTCTTACAGGTGCAGTGTTCTTAGACAACTTGGGTGTAAAGATGGGAAAAACTGGAATAGCAAGTAAGTTTCCCTGCCTCATGATGTTGTGTGCAAACACTGCTAAACAGACTGCAGATCTTGAACTGTTGCTTCATTTCCACGGTCCTGGGGCCAGTCACTGACTAAAGTAGGATTCGGTCGGGGCTGCCCCAGTTATGATTGTGACTTCCCCTGTAGATGATAGGGAGAGTTAACTGCCCTCCCATGTGAAATCCTAACAACAGCTAGTTTTCATTCCTCTCCTAGGGACATATCAGTGCTGTGAGGTGGTGGCAGTAGCCACCAGAAGAGAAAGGAAACCATTCTTTTGAGTAACCAGGTTTGTGGCTGGAGGAGTGGTAACCTCAGTGTGGTTTCAAGACTTGCTTAGGTCAATCAGCCTGCAGTGTTGCCTGAGCCCGCGGTATTTCCAAAGAAAGGAGGGCAGTTGCCCTCTTTGCCTTCAGTGACATGTTTGTGCGCCTTCCCACATGCCAGCATTAGTGTTCTCGAGGCCACACAACTAGTCAGTCAGGTCCCTCTGATCTGGCTGACTCTGTCAGTGTTCATGCCTACACTGGAAGTAGGTTGAGAATACGTAGCTCAGACTGTAGGACTGATTGCAGCATATACTTAAAACAGCTTAAGTGAGTCACGAGGTGGAAGACAGCCAGCTTCAGAAAAGCCAGTGGTGGGCTGAAACGGTAAAAGGACAGCAGAGCGCTTATTTCCCAACCGTCAATCTCCAGCAAAGTTAAAGCTGTGTTGTATCAGTTACTTAAAAATTAAAGTCTTTACTAGTCTGATATTTGAGCATGATGTGGAAAAGAAACAGGGTGGTAGAAGGGAAATAGTGAAATGCCAGTAGAAAAATGAATAGATTAAAGTCAGTTATGTCAATACATAACAATCTAAGCTAGTTGATGTGTTCAGTCTCAGGTATTTTGAAACTTAGTGAGCGACTTCTGTCTTGGAAAACCACTAGTAAAGATGCTGTCTGTCTTTGCTTCCTCTATAGCATCTACAGTAAATCAGGGAAATAATGTGAGAGGGCCTGGCTTAATTTACTGACTCTGGGCACCAGGGAGTCTGAACTTTGGTGTTGTTTCTCAAGGCACTTACCTTTACTGACTTGCAGCAGAAGATTAAAGGCTTGCATTAGAAATCTGCAAAAGGTTTTTGAGAGAGAGTGTAGTGTAGAGCTCAGCTGCTAATTTAATGCTTGACAGTGTTCCTGAAACAGTGTGAAGGTGCTCCTGTGAGAAGCTGCTGAAAATGCCGGGCAGTGAAAACTTGGAATTGATGGTATTGGTTCCAAATTACAAATTTATCCAGTGTCAGTGTGGTATGCATCCCAACCAGTGGAGCATTCTTCATGTGCAGAGGGAATTTTATGCTTTTCTTTTATATTATTTCACAAAAAAGTAAAAATACACATTGAGTAAATACACTGGTTTTAATCTCTTGGATGTCAATATGATGCTTCATGGAATCTGTTGTTGCTTCTATGTTAAAAATGTACAGTGGCCTCTGGAAGCCCTTCTGAATGTAGTCCATGATCTTGTACTGGAGAAAGAGTGAATATTTTCAAATATGCTCTGCTGGTACTCAGACTGTGAGCACCCAGTGAAGGGTTCTGAAGGCAGCCAGCTACCCTGTCTTCATGGCTTTTTCTAGTATATGAACTACATAACTTTTGCTTCATTTTCAGCAGATTCATCATGCCATCCCTCTCTTTCCCCCAGCTGAGCATGACTTTCTATGTAATGAGACTGTCATGTCTTCCCTTGCTTTTTTTCTCTGCATTAGACCTCCTTTTCCTTTGGTTTTCCTCTTGCCCAACGTGGTTTTCTTAACACAGTGCCCACTATTGGACGCAGTTCTCTAGCTGGGGCCTTTCTGATACTGAGTAGAGCAGAATAAGTACCCTGTGTCCTACATGTGGTGATGTTAATACATCCCAATTGCGATTTGCTGCTACTTTCCAGTGGCATCTTTACTGGCATTCATGAGGTCTGTCTCATAATGCTCAGCTGCTCTCCTGCAGTAGTTCTGCCTTGCCTGCTCTTCTCCACTGTGCGTTTGGTTTGTAAAATTGTGTGACTCTTCTTAATGCTTCTGTTTACAGCCAAGCAACAGACATAATGGAAACAGCAGGCTGGAAGTCCATGATCCACTCCCACCCTCACTTAGTAGCAGAGGCCTTTCGCGCACTAGCATCTGCACAGTGTCCACAGTTTGGCATTCCACGCAAACGGCTAAAACAGTCATGAAATCTTCCACGAACTTTAGAGAAATTGAATTGACTCTACTCCTCCATGTCCAGAGGTGTTTTCACAAACCATAACAAGAGTTTTTGTTATCCTTGTCCACAGAAGCTGAAAAAGCCTATTGTTTGCTTTTCAGATGGATAATTTATGGTTTAATCCTCAGCTTTAAATTAGACTGATTACTCTAATTCACTGAAAGGCCTTAAATTATCTTCAATGACTCTCTAGTCCATATAGTCTAATGTATCTTGATTTTTTTTAATTATTATTTTTTAATGTGCCTTGTCTTTTTTGACTAGGCTCTGCAGGATTGCACTAGCTCCATAATGCAGTAAAGTTGATATCTGAAGATTAATTTTTGAAAGGGATCTTCCATTATATTCAGAAGAAAAAAAAAGTGATTATAGTTTGCTCCTGTGCTAACTGGAAGGTTTTAACTAGCCTCTCCTTGAAAGCGCTTGAACCAGAGGCACAGAACGTCCCCTAGACAAGTGCTAAATATAGAGAGAGCCTGTTTACCTTCAGCGAATGCCTACAGGCTATTTATGGCAATATACTGCTTTGAACATAATTTATTTTTCATTGTGGGGGCAAATATGCAATGGTTTGGCCCAAAAATGTATTTTCATTAGTTTGTAATGCTTATCGTGTGTGTCAAAGCTGTCCAAACGGTGGAAAGAAACACAGAATAAACCTCTTGCTTGTGTTTCCTTACGGTCCATCATTAGTTTACATTTAATGCAGAATTGAACAAGAGGTAAAGAGTTCAATGTGAAAACAGAATAATACTGTGTATGGGGAAAAAAAAATACATCCCACGTGTATGGTTACGTAGAAAAGGAAAGGATGCGTAGAATGACCAAATGTAAATTGAAGAAATGGGCCAAATGGATTCTGAATATGCACTTTTAACGTGTAACTTTTGTATGTTGTGTGGTACATATATATTTTGCTTTTGATGAATTAATGAGGTACAGGTAATTGTGGCTTAACTTTTTAGATACATTTTAAGATGCCCACAGCCACATGGGATTTAGTTTTGTTAGAAAAGAAAGGCATGTCTTTTTAAGACTCGATTGAAGGTGGCTATTGCAAGCTTTCATATTTAAGTAACAGAATATTTTCGCCTATTTGAAAAAGGCATGGGAATGGTAAAATATTGAAGGGATTTTTCCCATCTTGACATATGTACACAGCTTCTATTAACACCTAAGGAGGTTATGTACACACCAAGAGGAATACTTCCCTGAAATGTCAGATGGTATTTGCAAGCAGAGACTTGCTCAGTCTTGCATTTCAGTTATTGTCCTAGCATTGTGGATGGTATTGAAATTCTGCATAATGTGAAAAGGATGAAACATTTGTAAACTGCTTGTCATGGGCCAGTTCTTTATTATATGAACCTTAGCTTTAATATCAACATCCTCAATGTTCGATAGCTTTGTTTACAATTGGGAGGAAAAGTCTGCAGTAGTGCACACTCTAAATGTTTCCTGAGTTACTGCATTGAGTTTACTGTAATAGTGATGATATGCTATATTTCTTTTTTGGGAAGACTTGGGTTTAGCAGTGGGGAACGGGAGGAGATCTCGCCTAATTTATAAACACATTTGCATACGGGGTTTAGTTTGCCTATTAAAAAGAAGTTACGCAGGGAGGAGAGAGGAAGAGTTTCAGATTGTTTACTATCTTAAAATCTGTCTCCATCCTCATTTCACTAAGATTCATCTGAATGGAATTTTTAGAAGAAAGAGTATATAGTTTTATACTTCGGCATCTAGTTAAACCATTAGCAAAGGTAAATTGGAAAGAAACGCCCAGCCCAGTTTTGAAGTATGAAATAACCTCTAAACATGCATTTTCTTCTTACCTTCTAACTAAATCTTTATGATGGATAAAGTGTAAAATCAGAAACTTTAATAGTACGTAAGGCATCAAATTATATATTTACAGAGATTTATCCTTTTATCAATTTTTAAATATTTATCTAAAATAAGGTCTCGTAAGTATTCTTCACAGTAAGGTGTAACTTGTTCCCTCCAAAATAGTGATGTTCTTGCTGCACTGTGTAATGCGTTAGGACTGTGTATGTCCTCATACTCATCACTGGTGAAGCGTGCAGCTCAAACAGAAAGTGACTTGAATATTTAATGCCGTGATGGTTGTCCAGTTCAGCTTGTTCTGAAGTCACAGCGTACAGTAATCAAACGGAACGCTTAAGGACTTTTAGGAAAACTTTTTTCTTAGAAGCTTAATAGCACACTTTGTACCAAAAAACGTCAGACACTGTGCTGTAATGTTACCTACATCGTGGTGTGTCCACTTTCCCAGTCAGGCAGCGTATACCGTATGTTACGCTAACAGAAAAAAACCCACAATAATTGATCTGTTTAGATTTGGGTTTATTTATTATATATGGTTTCCAGTTTGGTCACCTCTTAATGAAAAGGTAAAACAGTTGCTGTATTCTTAAGTGAGTGCACTAATGATTCACCTTTCCTATTCTTTAATTAACTACATGCAGTGTTCTCACTGGAACGGGATAGCTGGGAATTACAACCTTCTCCTTTGGACTCAGTAGCTTGTTTTTCTTCCCCACATCTCGAGAACTTGCCCTTCAAAACCTCAGCTGTCAGTTCTGTGCAGCAGCTATAAAACTATCTAATTCAACGGACAGTTTTTTTCAGGCTGAAATCTTGGGGGGTTTTTCTTAGTTTTGTATACAGATTAGGAACATGATGTATGAAGGTGCCATGTTTTGGCTTGCCAACACTACTCCCTCAGATATGTGAACCACCGCTTCCATACTTTTCTGGGGAGAACCCTGCATGTGTCCTGTGTGTGCGTGTGTGTGTATGACTGTGCGGTGTTTTTTGTCAAGAATGACTTTCTAAAAATAAGGACTCAATTTGCTGTTAAAATGCTGTTATGTATTATATATGTATTTTTTTTCCATCTGAACGCCTCCTAAGGAGATGCTTTGGGTGGAAGATGCTTCAGTAAATAATCCTTATTTCTTAGTCCATTTACTGCATGCAGAAGTATGAACACATTGTGCCTTTTTTAGGAAACTGTCGTAATGAAGGGAAGATTTAACAGGATACAAGATCTTTTTAAAAGGTGAAGGAGGATGCTATTTGATACACAATTGAGATGGAAGTTACAAATTACCCCTTTGAGCTCTGTTGCATGTTGATTCTTGCTTCCTAAATTCAGTTTCACTGAGGTAGAAACAACACAAAGTGGGATAAGTATTAGATACAACTTGAGTAATGGTATATTTTTGTGAAAATGTGAAAATATTTGCTGTTATGAGGTAAATGTATGTCAAAATGTGATAATCATGGACACAGTTTTACAAATTACTCTAGTTCTGATACGTTTTCTAAACATGGAGTATCAAGTATAAAACTCACCTTTGCACAGATGGTCAGTAGGAGACCGACACGGTGATTATGTTCCCTTTAAATCCTCATGGAAAGGTTTCTCCCTTGGGAGAATAAACTGATGTGCAGTATTTGAAACTGTGTTTCATAAAAGACAGTGAATTGCGAGTGTGAGGTATTGCTACCTGAAATATTGTTGATTTTTATGGTTGGTTAGAATTCCTAAGCTTAATTGATTTATTTTTTGTAATTGACAGATGGAATGTTAACTGTCCCCGTTCTCTGGTGTAGCATATTTAGTGCAGAGCTTAGCTCCTTAGCTGGCAAGACACTGACTTAGTCTCATAACTTGGCTTCTGCTTACAGTAAATGGACTACGTTCCTAAAGGGAATTCACGATTTCCGGTGTTTTGCAAGGAACTTCACCGTATTTGTAACCTGGTTTTTGAAGGCTTAAGATCAATGAGTCCTATTTTAGAAATTAAACCAGTGAAACGACTTAGACCTGTTTCGGGGTGGAAATGACTAAGAGAATTCAGATATGTAAACAGTTGTATCAAACCATCCAGCCTTTTTTTATCAGCTGATGTTAATGGTGAAATACTTTTTGTACCTTGTTGCTGGAAATATTTTTGCGTTTCAGCACATCAAGTTACAATAAAGTTGTTACTTATACAGAATGTGTCTGTGTGGCTTGTGTTTGGTTTTTTTTCTCCTGTGTATGTTCACAATGGCTACCTTTACTTCTCTCTATCGAGAAAGGTATTTTACCAGCACTGTCAATCAGTCTCATGTAAAATATATTGCTGTCCTTTCGGAAACCACTTTTAGAGAGGACCGTATTGCAGTCTTGCTCTAATGACCACTAACTTAGTTATCTTTCCCTTTTGACACATTCAAATAACTTAGAGCTCCAAATAGCTTATAACTTGCCTACCTGAGAAACGACTACCTCTACACAGGCTGTGTCAGAGCCGATACTCGGTGGGAAGAAAGGTTCATCCTGTGGTAATGAAGATGGGCTTCATCGTTTCGAAGAGATTTGGCTTCTTTTTCCACCTGCCATCGAAAATGGTTTTATTATTTTTTCCCCTGCCAAGAAGTACAGGTTTATGACGACTGCGTACATCAGGAATGTTGCTTGCATTCGTGATGGGAGAAGTGGTACGTAAGAATCGTCTATTTTTCATGGGGTTTAATATGTTTATAGGCGTTTTAACAGAGATATGTAGGGCTGTTGATATACTGCTCTATGTATTTGACTTTGGACACACTGAATTCTGGAAAATTAGGGTCTTGAGGTAAGTCACCTCGTAAAAAGTGATGCAGACCTTTTGAAAACACGCAGTTACCTGTCTTGGGATCTGGGCAGTGGCGAGGATGTGGCAGAGTCAACCATCGCAGTGCTTCCCAAGATGACTTGGGTAGCAAGGGTACAGTGCTGTCATCGCAGGGCTGTCGTGGGTGTCTCAGCGTAGCCCGTCACCGTGTGCTGTGTAGGTACGGGCAAAATTCTCCACTTAAAACAAACATCCCTTAAGTTACACCACAGTGACACAGCTTAAAGTCCCTCCTGGGGCTGGTACCAACAGTGGTGTAACTTACGCCTTCACAGGCAGTTGAAGGAAAAGCTTTATTTAACAGACACAGTGAACTACAAGTAGTGTTTTAAGGTGTCAATCTACCTGAATCTTGGTTTAGTTAAACTATCACTAACAACTTTATCAGCTTTCTGAGAATTCTCATTTGAAGTCCAGTGCATGTCGGTGCCACTTCTCCAAAATTCACAGTTGTTATTGACTAATCATGGCAACGTGCATCTTGACCATGAGAAATTCCCATTTGTTCTAGGATCGCACCTACCTTACTGAATTCTTCATGAAGCTAAACTTGCTGTTTTGTTATGTTCTATATGGAAGAATACAACCTTTTAATAATTATGTTTTTCTGTATTACAGATGACTTCTACAATTACTGTTTACATTATTAAGTTACTAACTATTAAGTTACTATTTAATATTACAGATTGTTTATTAAGTAAATTATATTAATGGTCAAACTACTTGCATTACACACAAATAGCTTTGCAGTTCACATTTGACAGGATTGTAATAGAGAAAATGCTGTTATTTGCAGTTAAAACAAGGGTAGTTTTGAACATCTTCTCTTTCTGCAAACTTCTCAGTAATTTTCCCATAGAGGAACATGTCTGTTTTGAAGATTCCATCTTTGTTTTCTCAGAGAAAGTTGGAAGAAATACAAGGGCAGGAGTAGAACGAAGCGTTTCAGGGATACGATGCAAGGGACATGCTTTTTCCACTACAAGCACTGCATCTAGGCAAAAAAAATTCCCCAGACTTGGCTGTGACAATTCATGAGTGCTTTGGAATAGAGATGCCATTCCAGTGGTCAAGTGAGTTGCATTTCTAAACTGCGTGTCAAGTTGATGCTTTAAGTGTAAAATTGGGTTTCTCCTAAGTCAAGTATAAATAACAGAAATGTGGTTCGAGACTCAGGAGGGAAAAAATAATTTTGCAGAGTTTGCTTGGCCTTGACTTGCAGAGAAACTACCAGGAGTGGTTGGACTTCTCAGTTAAAGTATTTTGAAGGGGGCTTGG